TTTATTTTGATTACACAGGTCACCCTATTAAGTGTAGGAGGACATGAACATCAGGAGATGAAAATTATTGGGGGTCATCTTAAATACTGGTTACCACAGATAGATTCTCAGAAATGCAATTATGGTATCATATTAACAAGTAATTTTGTTGGAAAAAAATCACATTTTTGGGATATTATTTAATACCTGTGTATGCCTATATAATCTAAGTGTGTGCAGTCTTACAATCTGAAGCTTTCTAGCCTTCTTCTTAGGCCACTTTGCCCTTTAATATTTAAAACAATTGGTTGAATCTCCTGTCCACAAGAGGATATTGTGAGAAACTTGGAATTCTTCCCCTCCCACTAGCCAAGGAATTTTTAAAGTTTTATAGTATTCTGGTCACCTTTTCTTGTAATTTTACAAATTCACTGAATTCTCAGTCCCTTCTCTATATTTCTCTTCCTGCAATTGTTTTCTTCTGAGATTGCTTTGCCCAGCATATGCTATGACCCCCATTCCTATTTCACTCAAGGTGTTTCAAATAAAAGATGGTTATAAATAGCAGAATTTTATTAAATGTTTGGGGGTAGTGAGGAAGATTATAGTCTAGCATGATATAAAAAAATAACTTAAAGTTTATTATTAGACATCAGTGTCCAGAAATTTCATTAACTGCTCTCTTTTCAAGACATTTCCTATTAGCTATTTCCTTAGGCCCCAGTTTTTAAGTTTTTGGTCTTTTTTCTTCCCTATTGCTTACTCACATTCTTCTCTTCTTTTTATTTTTGAGCCCCTGTTCTGTTTGTTTGCAGAAACTAAAAATTTCTCTTGCTTCATTATGCAGAATAATTCAGCTATTATTAAATTATACCATTTTCTTCTAAATTCTTTCATGGGAAGCTTCACATATGCTTCCCAAGAGGCCCATAAATAATTTCCCTAAGCAAGTAACTACCTTTCCTGGTATGAATTATACCAGTCCTCTAGTATGTTAACATAACTTCAGTAATTTTCCTTCCTTCTATAGACAGAAATATTACTTTATTTTTCTCTTTTTTTTTTTTTTTTTTTTTTTTTAATTTCAATATGATTTCAGACCTCCAGAAAAGTTGCAGGAATAGTAGAAAAAATTCCTATATATACTTCACCAAGTTTCCCCACATATTAACAGTTTACCACATTTGCTTTATACTTTCTTTCCCTGTGTGTGTGTGTGTGTGTGTGTGTGTGTAATTTTTTTCTAAACCAGTTGAGAGTAAGATGGGGACATGATGAATCTTACATAAATACCTCAGCGTGTATATCCTAAAAACAAGGCCATTTATTTGTATAACCCAAGTACAATTATCAAAATTAGGCAAATAGCATTGATATACTATAACTGTCTAATGTACAGTCCTTATTCAGATTTTTCAAATTGGCCCAAGAATGTCCTTTTTAGAAAAATGAAATCTGAGATCATGTGTTTCATTTGGTTGTCATGTCTTTTCATCTGGAACAGTTCCCCAGTCTTTGTGTTTCATGACATTGACATTTTTGAAGTATGTTGTAGAATATCCCTCAGTCTGGGTTTGTCAGTATTTCCTCGTGATTAGATTCAGGTTGTGTGCTTCTGGCAGGAAGTGCAGAGGGATATGTTTTTCTGAATGGACCATATCAGGAGACACATGGTGTTGATTTGTCCCATTGCTGGTATGGGAGATTTGTTTCTAATACCAATTTTTTCCTTAATGCTCATAACATGATTCTAATTAGTTATGATGTAATGCTTGGTAGGTTTTGCAGCTTCTTCATAAAGTCACTTCACTGTAGCCCTATTTCTTAAAAAACAAAAAATTAAGCTTCTTGCTTACAACGTTCTTTCTTTTTTTGTACCTATTGAAACCTTTTAAGGTTTACTTAAATTCCGTCTCCTCTTTGAGGTTCTTTTAGCTCACTCAGAGTAATTTTTTGTGAACTAAAATCTTATAATTATTGAATATAAAGGACCTAGCTTGAAGTCTGACATATTGTAGGCACTCATTAAATACTGCTTTTTTGCTTCTTTTCAACTTCTCATGTGACATCTCATGTATACTATGTTTTAAATATTTATTTGCTTCATGTAATTTTAGATTTGAAAGGAAAATCAGTAATAAGCTAATCTCATTTTAGTTTACATGTGAAGAAATTGAGCAAAGAGAGGTTGTATAATATTCTTATGTTTAAAAGTTAAGTTTTAGCACTAGAACTTGTATCTAGAGTTCCTAGATTCTTAGGATTTTAAAATTGACCAGAGATTTTATTCCTTGGAGATATTATAAGGGCAAAGGGAAGGGTTTGGTCATTGTGGATCTAGGTTCCTGCCAGCCAATTCAACAAAACTTCCCTGGTTTTATCTGTTTTTACATTGGGTTCCCATGTTCGAATTCCTATTAAAAAAAAAAAAAAGATTCTGCTACTAAAAAGAAAACAACAATTAAAAATTTGAAAACAATTGCTCTATTCCATATTAACCCAATGCACAAACACCCTGCCAGGAATCTATCTAATCTATACTTCAGAGCCCAGAAACAAGGAATTCACTGACTTTTCATTCAATAAATATTTGCTGAGTATTTTGCATGTACCAGGCATTTTGTAGGCATTGGACTACAAAGATAGAAAGACATGAATAGAAACTACTCTCACATAGCTGATAGATTTGACACTTAGAAAGTATTTCTTTATATTAAGTTGAATTCTGCTTATTTGTAATTCTCTCCTCAGGGTATACAAAGAAAAGTCAGTGGCTTAATCTACATAAAACTCTTAAATTTACTGAGGCAGGTTGATAGTATCCCAAGGCCCTTCAACTATTTTTTTTTTTTTTTGTTTTTTCTTTTCTTTAAAAAACAAAAACAAAAACAAACCATTTTTTTTAGAGCAGTTTTAGGTTTATGATAAAATTCAAAGGGAGGTACAGAGATTGCCTGTATAAGCCCCCTTCCTACACATGCATAGCCTCCTCCATTAGCAACATCCCTTACCAGAGTGGTACATTTCTACCAAGGATGAACTAACATGGACATATCATAATTAGTCCATAGTTTACCTTAGGGTTCGTTCTTGGTGTTGTACATTCAATGGGTTTGAACAGATGTATAATGACATATATCCATCATTATACTATCATACAGAATATTTTTACTGCCCTAAAAATCCCCTGTGCTCTGCCTATTCAACTCTCTTTCCCACCCCCTATCCCTGGTAATCACTGATTTTTTAAAACTGTATCCATAGTTTTGTCTTTCCAGAATGTCATATAGTTAGAATCACACAATATATACCCTTCTCAGATTGGCTTTTTTCACTTAGTAATATGAATTTAAAGTTTCTCTATGCTTTGTAGCTCATTTCTTTCTAGTATTGAATAACATTCCATTGTCTGGATACACCATAGTTTATTTATCCATTCACTTACTTAAAGGACATCTTGTTTGCTTCCAACTTTTGCAATTGTGAAAAAAGCTGCCATAAACATTCATGTGCAGACCTTTGTGTAGATATAAGTTTTTAACTCCTTCTGTAAATACCAAGAAACACCATTGCTATTTTGTATGGTACAAGTATGTTTAGTTGTGTAATAAACCACCAAACTGTCTTCCAAAGTGACAAAGTACAATTTTGCACTCCTACCAGCAATGAATGAGATTTCCTGTGACTCTGCATTTCGGCCAGCATTTGATATTGTCAGAGTTCCAGATTCTGGCCATTTTAATAGGTGCACAGTGGTATTTCATTGTTCTCTTTTGCCATTTCCTCGATGACATATGATGTGGAGCATCTTTTCTTTTCATGTTTATTTGTCCTCTGTATATCTTCTTTGGTTAGATGTCTGTTAAGGTTTGGCCCATTTTTTAATCAGGTTGTTTATTTTCTTATTATTGTGCTTTAAGTGTTCTTTGCATATTTTAGATAACAGTGTTTTATCAAATGTGTCTTTGCAAATATTTTCTCCCAGTCTGTGGCTTGTCTTCTCATTCTCTTGGCATTATTTTTTGTAGAGCAGTTTTTAATTTAAATGAAGTCATAGCTTATAATTTATTTCTTTCATGGATCATGTCTTCAGTGTTGTATCTAAAAATGCATCATTATAGCCAAGGTCACCTAGGTTTTCTTCTACATTACCTTCTAGGAATTTTATAGGTTTGCATTTTGCATTTATGTGTATGGTCCATTTTGAGTTACTTTTTGTAAAGGGTGTAAGGTTTACATTTAGGCTCATTTCTTTGCAGGTGGATGTCCAGTTGTTTTGGCACCATTTGTTGAAGAGTATTTTTGCTCCACTGTATTGCTTTTACTCCTTATCAAAGATCAGCTGACTATATTTGTGGGATTCTATTTCTGGGCTTTCTATTTTGTTCCATTGATGTACTTGTCTATTCTTCACCAATACCACAGTTTTCATTACTGTAGTCTTATAGTAAGTATTGAAGTTGGGTGGTTTCAATCCTCCAACTTTGCTCTGTCTCAATATTGTGTTGGCTATTCTGGGTCTTTGCCTATCCATATAAACTTTAGAATCAGTTAATTGAATTCATAAAATAACTTGTTGGGATTTTTATTGGAATTTCATTGAATCTATAGATCAGGCTGGGAATAACTGACATCTTGTGAGTCCTCCTATCCATGAACATGGAATACATCTCCATTTATTTCTTTGATTTAATGTGAGTTTTGAAGTTTTCCTTATTTATGTCTTGCATATATTTTGTTAGATTTATTCCTATTTCTTTTAGGGGGTACAAATATAGATGGTATTATGTTTCTAATTTCCAATTCTACTTCCCATTGTTGGCATATAGGAAAGCAACCAACTTTTACATATTAACCTTGTATACTGCAACCTTGCTATAATTACTTATTAGTTTCAGGAGGGTTTTTTTTTTTTTTTTTTTTTGGTCAATTCTTTCTGATTTTCTACAAAGAAAATCTTGTCATCTGTGAACAAAGACAGTTTTTTGGGTTTTTTTTTTTTTTCAGTTTTTCATACAACTTTATTTTCTCCCTTCAACCATAATAATATGATATCCAAATTTTGTCTTAGCCGGAGGGTCTGTAAACACAGGCTTATCCAGCCCACTCACAGGCAAGGCAAATGTTGCTTCCTGAAATGGTCCCACCATGGAACCTCTGGTCATCCATGGTCCCACAATGGAACCTCTGGTCATCCAACCCAAGTTGCTCCCTTGCCTGGCTTTATCTTCACTATAGTATGTGGCCACTTCATTCAATCTCATTCCAGACTTCAACTTTTCCATGGCTTCCATGATTTTCCCATGTTTTTCACACAGAATGTGTCTGACCTTTACTGCATTGCCACCACCTTTGGGACCCTGAGCCTTCTTGTCAGAACTGTCACTCCCAGAGGATGCTCCCCCTTTCCCCCCTTTCCCGGAACCACTTTTTCCCTTGGGTGGCATCTTCCAAACCTGCAGCAGAACCCTCAACGGCCAACAGTTTTAAGTAATCGTTCTCAATCTGTATACCTTTTATTGTCTTTTCTCACCTCGTTGAGTTTGCAAGGCCATCTAATACGATGTTGAAAAGGAGTGGTGAGAGAGAATATCCCTGTCTTGTACCTGATCTTAGCAGAAAAACTTTGAGTTTCTCACTATTAAGTATGTTAGCTGTAGGTTTTTTATAGTTTTTAGAAAGTTGAGAAAGTTCCCCTCTTTTCCTAGTTTACTGAGTTTTTGTTATTAATGGGTGATGGATTTTTGTCAAATGCATTTTCTGTATCTTTTGTTATGATCATGTGATTTTTAAAAAAGATTTTATTTATTTGAGAGAGAGAAAGAGAGTGAGTGAGTGCACAAGCAGGGGGGAGCAGTAGAGGGAAAAGCAGACTCTCCACTAAGCAGGGAGACTGACACAAGGATTAATCCCAGGATCCTGGGATCATGACCTGAGCCAAAGGCAGAAGCTTAATTGACTGAGCCACCCAGGTGCCCCTGATTTTTCTTTTTTAATCTATTGACATAATAGATTATATTAATAGATTTTTGAATGTTTAACCAACCTTGCCTACCTGGGATAAAACCCATTAGTTGTCATTCTTTTTTATATTTTTCTTGGATTTAATTTGCTAATATTTTGTTGAGGATTTTCATATCCTTATTCATGAGGGATATTGAGCTATAGTTTTTTTTTCTCTTATAATATCTTGTAATGTCTGGTTTTAATATTAGGGCAATTCTGGTCTCATGGGATGAGTTAGGAAGGATTCCCTCTGCTTCTATCCTCTGAAAGAGATTATAGGAAATTGACATAACTTCTTCCTTAAATCTTGGCCTGGTGCTTTCTTTTTTGGAATATTATTAATTCTTTATGTAGATTTGGGCTTTTGACCTATATTATTTTTCTTCCATCTAAAGAATTCCTTTTACTATTTATTGTAAGGCAGGCCTACTGGCAACAAATTTCTTTAACCTTTGCTTGTCTTTACTTTTCCTTCACTTTTAAAGGATAATTTTGCAGGAGACAGAATTCTAGGTTGGTGTTTTTTTTTTTCTCTCAACAGTTCAAATATTGCACTCCACTATTCTTGCTTGCATGGTTTTTGAGAAGGTGGATATAATTCTTATCTTTGTTCCTCTATAAGTAAAATGTGTTTTACCCCCTTTGGCTTCATTTAATATTTTTCTTTATTTTTGATTTTCTGTAATTTGAAAATGATATACCTAAGTATAGTTTTATTTATTTATTTGTTTGTTTGTTTGTTTATTTATTTATTTTTATGTTTATCCTGCTTACTGTTCTCTGAGCTTCCTGGATTGGTTGTTTGGTGTCTGACATTAATTTGGGGAAATTCTCTGTCATTATTATTTCAAACATTTCTTCTGTTCCTGCCTCTCTTTCTTCTCTTTCTCGTATTCCCTTTTTTTTTTTTTAAGGTTTTATTTATTTATTTGACAGAGAGAGACACAGCGAGAGAGGGAACACAAGCAGGGGAGTGGGAAAAGGAGAAGCAGGCTTCCTGCGGAGCAGGGAGCCCGATGCAGGGCTCCATCCCAGGACCCTGGGATCAAGACCTGAGCTGAAGGCAGACGCTTAATGACTGAACAACCCAGGCGCCCCTGGTATTCCCTTTATACATATGTTAAACCTTTTATAGTTTTCCCATAATCTTTAGATATTCTGAAATTTTTTACAGTTGTTGTTCTCTTTGCTTGTTAGGGATTCTCTTTATTTATCTCTAATGCAAAGTTTTTTTTTTCCTCAGCTGTGTCCAGTCTACTAATGAGCCCATTAAAGCATCCTTCTTTTCTGTGATAGTGTTTTTTATCTCTAGCATTTCTTTATGGTTCTTTCTTAGGATTTGCATCCCTCTGTTTACATTGACCATCTGTTCTTACATGCTGTCTACTTTATCCATTAGAGCCCTTAGCATATTAATTATAGTTGTTTTAAATTGCCAGACTGATAATTCCAAAATCCTTGCCATGTCTGGTTCTGATGCTTACTTTGTCTCTTCAAATTTTGCCTTTTGATATGCCTTGTAATTTTTTCTTGACAGCTGGACATGATGTACTGGGTAAAAGAAACTGCTTTAAATAGAATGTTAGTAATGTGGTGGTGAGATATAGGGGGAAGGGAAGTGTTCTATATTCTTCAATTAGGTCTCAATGTTTTAGTGTGTCTATGCCTCTGGGCTGTAAATTTCACATGTGTTTTTAAGTTTTTCCTCCCCTTCTGAAGTGGGCTAGAGCTGGGTATTTCTCTTCTTTGTATCTATTAGACTCTGATAATACCTGAGCAGGTTAGGCTCTGGTTAACTACTTTCTCCTGAGGTCAGGACTTGATTATAGGAACAGAGTGTTCTGGCATATTTCAAAGTCATTCTCTCCCCTCCCTCCACTCCCATCCCCCACTTGCCAGAAGCCTGAAATGATTTTTCTGAAATATTGGCTATGGGAAGCTGGTAAAACTCCTGGAGGCAAATCTCACAATATGACTGGGTTCTCCCTGGAGTCTTTAACTCTCAGAGTTGTCTGCAGTGAGCCTCTAACAATTCATCAATTACAGTTCAGGTTTTCCTATCCCTTCACTGTTTCCCATGCTGGTTTCTGCTTGTGAGTCTATTCAGGTAAGCTACTACTCCCTGTTTTTGTCTGTCTGTCTCTCCAGTCTTGTGGGCAGCAGTTTGTTCTATGTCCTCCTCTCTCCTATGGAACCAAGAAGAGTTACCGATTTTTGTCTGTTCAACCTTTGACTTGTTGTTAGGATGGAGTAGTGACTTCCAAGCTCCTTGTGTGTGGAATTGGAAATTGGAAGTCCCTTCAAGTATTTTTTAATGACATGACATCAAGTTGATACACCACTGGAGACACTTAACTCTATACATGTTCTATTTGCCAACATATCTCTGAATTGTGTGATACTTAGACCTTTACAGAGGTAATCAAATTAAAATGAGGTCTTTAGGGTGGGCCCTAATCCAACATGATTTGTGTTCTTATTAAAAGGGGAAATTTGGATACAGACAGACACACATAGAGAAAAGACCATACAAAGAGACATAGGGAGAAGATGGCCATCTATGAGCCAAGGAGAGAGGCCTAGAACAAGACCTTTCCCTCACAGCTCTCACATGGAACTTACACCAACGACTTAAGACTTGATTTCAGGCCTTTAGGCTCCCAAACTATGAGACAATAAATTTCTGTTATTAAAGCCATACAATTTGTGGTACTTTGTTATAGTAGACCTAGCAAGCCCATACAGGCTTATATGGAATTGTTCACAAGTATTAAAAAATGCTTATTACAGACAAGATTTACTTAATTATGTCTATGTGCTAAGTTATTAGGGATATCTACGAAATCTAAATATATCAACACATTTAATCTTTATAACAATCTATTTGAGGTAGGTACTATTAATCACTTCCTTTTTGTAGAAGAAAAAACCCACTCTCAGAGACATTTATAAAATTGTTCTAAGTCACCCAGTTTAGATTTAGGTAGCTAGCCTGCAGAGTCTATACTTTTTTTTTTTTTTAAGATTTATTTATTTATTTGAATGAGAGAGAGAGTGGGGGGAACAAAGGGAGAGAGAGACAAGCACACTCCCTGTTGGGTGGGGAGCCTGATGTGGGGCTTGACCCTGGGACCATGAGATCATGACCTGAGCTGAAATCAAAAGTTGGATGTTTAACCGACTTAGCCAACCAGGCACCCCCAGAGTCTATACTCTAAACACTACTTTGGATACTACCCATTGTCCTGAGAGAGTTTGCCAAATTATAGGATTATTTATTTATCTTTCCAGAATTCAGGAAGATCCCATTTTAATTGGTGAGTGTTAGTGTTTATATTTGTTTTCCGTGGTTGCCATAACAAATTGTCACAACTTGGGTCACTTAAAACAGAAATTTATTCTCTGACAGTTCTGGAGGCCAGAAGTCTGAACTCAAGGGCTACAATCTCTCCATAGGCCCTAGAAGAGATCCAGTTTTTTGCATTTTCCAACCTCTGGTGAATCTTTGCATTCCTTGGTGTTCCTTGGCTGCATTACTCTGATCTCTGCCTCAGTGATCACATTGTCTGCTGCTCTTCTGTCTGTGAGCATCTCCTCTGTATGCCTCTTATAAGGACACTGCTCATTGGATTTAGGGCCCAGATAATCCAGGATGATATCTTCATCTTAAGATCTTTAACTTAATTACATCTGTAAAGACTTTTTCTTAAAAATGAGGTAACATTTACAGTTTCCAAGGATTTGGTTTGACATGGACACATCTGTTGGAGGGCCACCATGCAACCCCCTACAATGTTGTCTTGTATTTTTAAGTCAGCATGCTTTTCTTGTGATCATAGTGAACCAAAACCATTTAGGTAAACTAATGAGGAAATACAGTGACAAGAAGAAAGGAAAGGAGCAAGAAAGAGAAGGATAAGATGAGAGGAGAGGAAAGAGTTACCTTTAGGGAGAGTGACCATTACAAACCACTCTATGTTTCAATATTTGCTACCAAAGTTGAATCTCTGTTATTTGAGAGTAGTTTAAAACAAGTGAAAAAGTTATGGATTTGTTTGGGGAAAATATAGTTAAGTGTTTGAATAAAAAATGGAGGAAAAGGATTTTTAAGACAGCTGAGATCTATTTTAAAATTATAAGCCCTTCAAAAGAGCATTATCATAAAGAAATAGAATTTAAATCATCATCATAATCTTCAGTAGATCTGTCCCCCTGCCTCTGTTTCTATGGCAAACAAATAACATTTCAGCATAGTTTCATACTATTACTACAAGACTAAGAAACAGTTTGTCATTGGCAAGCTTGCCAAATGCTTAGTGAGTCTTCTGCATATGAATGTTCATACTAATTTGCCAAAACTTAGTTTAAAATCCAGAATTGTAAGAAACTGAAATGTTACTCATAATAAGAAAGTTGGAACTTTCTTAAAAGCTTTTCACACCCTAATAATAATATAACAACGAGCA